ATATTTATTTATATTGAAAGTCAAGACCTACAATATGTATTGCAAATATTACTTAATGACATTGTAAAACCAGAATCGGGAAGGTTCAGAAGCCTTTTACATTTAGTTAAATGTTCTTTTAATCGATCAATTAAATCAACGGAGTCCTCATTACAGTAATTACACTTTATAATTTTTGTAAAATTCAACCGAATTTATTTCAATGGAGGTCTTCCACGAGACATAGTTATTCAAGGTAATTTTTAAAAAAATTTGCATATGTTATTTAAATCGAATTGCGTAATTTTATTTATATATGATGATTACGTCATAATGTTTTAAAACAATTAAAAATCAAACAATCGAGATTTTTAAGATCGTTAGGTAACGGTAAGTAAATAGGTACGTACGTCTAATCAGCGCTCGGATCATGACCCGGGTCAACATTGGAACTAAAGAGAAAATCACGTTTAAAATTTAGTGTAACAGTTCTAATTTTAGATCACGTTTAATCGTATACAGCATTTCAAAAAATAGGCATCGGTAAAAAATTTTATTATGTAAATCAAATGCTTTAAATATCAAATTATATAGAGTATAGTTAACTCATTTTGCAAAAAGTTGACGCTGCCCCATTTGACCTGGGTAACAGACTCTAAACCTAATTACAGAATTATGAAACAATCACAATCATGTGTTCGTCTGATATGGATTTTCATATCAGCATCATTATCTAAATCATGATAACCGCTAGGCTTCAAAATTATCGTAATTGCAGTCTATTTAGAAACCCAAAATTATCGTTATTTCAATTTCGCAAAAACTTTGGTACGCAAAAAATAATAAATAAATAATTCTTTGAAATGTTTTACTTTTATGATTATAATTACCGATTATCTCAAATTATGTTATCAGCAATGGCATCATCCATGAAAGCTATCCAAATTAAGAATACAGGTGGTGTGGAGGTTTTGGAACATGTTACTATAGAGCGTCCTAAAATTACTGAACCGACTGATGTGTTGGTGAAGAACCATTTTTCCGGTGTGAATTTCATCGATACATATCACAGGTTCTTTTTTTTTTTTTTAAAGCGTAAAGCTCAAATTGTTGGTATTTCATTAGTACCACTTATCATTAAATCTGATGAATATGTTTTTTTTGGTAGAACTGGACTTTATAAACTTCCGCTTCCTGCAGTAATTGGTCGGGAAGGTTCTGGTGTTGTAGAAGCAGTTGGTGATAGTGTAAAGGACATCCGGCCTGGAGATCATGTAGCTTACATGAGTTCATCATCTTATGCTGAATTTACAATTGCGCATTCAAAACATGTTGCTAAAGTACCAAATGATCTCGATTTGAAGTTGGTTGCTGCCTCTCTTCTTCAGGTATTCAGGTATTATTTCGTAAAATATTTATAATAATATACAATATTCTAAAATTTACTTACAATATGTTGAAAGGGCTTAACTTCTTGGATCATGGTAACTCAGTCTTATGAAGTGAAAAAAGATGATTATATTCTTATCCATGCAGCTGCAGGTGGTTGCGGTCTTCTTCTTGTGCAACTCGTGAAAAATTGTGGTGCTCACGCAATTGGTACCGTCTCTAATGATGAGAAGGCTAAATTAGCTATTTCAGCTGGTGCTGAACATGTAATCAATTATTCTAATCAGAATGTTGTTGAGGAAGTCATGCGGATTACTGATAATAAAGGTGTACATGCTGTTTTTGATGGTGTGGGCAAAGATACTTTCGAAACATCTCTAGCTTGTGCTCGTCGTTTAGGGTCGGTGATTTCATTTGGAAATGCGAGTGGTGCAGTACCACCGTTCGAAATTTTAAAACTTGCAGAAAAAAATTTAAAGTTGATGAGACCTACGTTATTTAAGTACATTGAAACCGAAGAAGAGTTTAAAAAATATACTGCAGAGTTGTTTGCAGCAATTAAAGAAGGAAAATTGAATATCAAAATTTGGAAGACATATAAATTAAGCGATGTGAGACAAGCCCATTTGGATTTAGAGGGAAGGAAGACGTCAGGAAAGTTGATACTACAACTTTAAATGATTTGCTATTTATAACAATATTAAATCTTTCATCTTATCTAACTACTATAAAACAATTTGATGAATGTACAAAGCTATGTAATCTATAAATAAAACAAAGCTAGAATTGCATATACAAATTTAATTTTTCAATAAAAAAAAACTTTCATATACTTTAAAGTAAAAGTATAATTTGTGATAAGATTGTTTAGCAATGGCTGAGGTTATTTTTGTTACTTATATTTTGAGGTTACGAATGTTTTAGGTTTAGCCATGGTGGTTACGCTAAATTCTGAATTTTTTTGTTAAAACTTTTTACTTATAAATCGATAACGAAAATTTAAATCATTTGTACTTACCGTATTAAAACATGTATTAAAATTATAAATTAGATGAATAATGTTTAACGCTATATATTTGTTATTGTATTGTGAAATTTTACCAGTAAAATTCAGAGTAAAGGTTAGAATTAGAAGTTAATGTTAAAAGAAATATTTTTAAATGTATTTTTGTTTAAAGCATTAAGAATTTATTAAGATAGCAGCTATATTCATCATACTTTGCAAAATTATAAGATTTTAAATTGTAGTAATGATATTTAAAAATTTTCTTATAAAAATTTTATATATTAAAATACTATCTATTCCTGATGGATCGATCTTAATAGGGTTAAAAAAAAAATTTATTTGACTACTGTTCCTGATAGAGTTCTAAAATGAACCCGATCCTAATTTTTTCATATACTGTACATCGCTATAGTTGTGTAGTATTTTACTGTAGAGGCTCTTTTTTAGAACTCTATAAGGAACGATACGTAAATCGATTTCTTTTTCCTACTCTATCAGTAACAGTAGTTTTGCAACGGAACTCATAGCGAAGAAATTTTTTTTCCTATTGTCTGGACTTAAGTTCCCCGCTCTGCTCCAAAAACTATTTAAAGTATGCTATATTTTTTAATATAAGATGCTAATATGAGATATAGTCTATGGCCGTTCTTCCAGATAAAGATCGCTCAAGCACTACTTTTACATTTTAACATATCAAACATAATAAACACAACAAATTTCTAATCGGTCTAAAAAATCAGCCAATTACAATGAAAGCCCGCTATGCTGTTCACACTTGATCTACAACCGTTTTTCTTTATCCACATGAATTCCTATTTTTCAAATATCGCTCAAACGCTTCCTTTTCATCTTTATTGACACAACCCATTTATTGGGTACTTGAATATTACTGAATGCTTCACATCCATTCATTCAATCTCACTTTTCAGCATAATTATTTTCTTTATTTCGTATTCTACATCCATTTTTATTACATCGACCAACCATATACGTTTCATCGGTATTAGGCGATTACATCCATCCATCTCAGCTTAAAGCTTCAGAATTATAAATCCGGTCCTCAAGTTGGAAGAGCATTGGCAAAAGCTCTTCGCATTAATGATACGTTATCTTCCTTGGATTTAAGTTAGACCTTACGACTGTGATCTTCGAAATTTCTACAATCCCACAACTCGGACTATTTCGAACTATTCCAACGATAACTTATACACATTCGCGATCGACCCACATCCTTACTATGTTGGTGTTTTATTGATTTTATTCAACTAGAAAAATAGATGATTCAAGATATATAAGTTGCAAAATCAAAATGCTGAAGAACTTTATCAACTTGGACAAAAATATATAGGATCAAGTTATGCATAATAATTCACCGGCGATTTTTTTTTAAAAAAAAAATCAGCTGGTCGATTTTATTAAGAACATTATGTCATTTCTAAAATTTTCAATGTAGTAAATTATGAAACTATGGGCAAGGCCAAGGTCAAATTTTGTATAAATCCTGAAAGCTTTGAAATCAACTAATTGACTAAGGCCGTTCTTCCAGATAAAGAT